TGCCCTGGCTGCGGCAAGCGCGGCAACAGCTGCAGCTCAGCCGGGGGCCAGAGGACCCCGACGTGCGCACCTTGCGAGGAGCGGATCGAATCGGCGTCTTTGGATCTGACGGCATCATTTTTGGTGCACCACAGATGGGTCAAGGTATTCGCAGGTTTCAACATCTTGATGAACCAACATCTTGACCCCTGGAGATCTCCATTTGTGGTTCCTGGGGAAGACGAGACAGAGGCCCCCCAGCTAGGTGCCCGTTCTCACCCCCTTTTTTGGTTGGAAGGGGAACCCCCTACTAAAATGGACTACAGAAAAAAGTTGGTACTCTGATTCTAACCTGTCTACTGAAGGACCTAGATCATTCTAGTGGCAAACCAAAAGTTTGTCATTTGGCCAATCTACTCAGGAAGTGAGTCTATGTGTCTGGTTTTTGCTGGAACCAGTCCCACCCATGGCACAGGACCGCAAAGGATTGAGAGGTGGCTTTCCTCCCTTGCCGCTTATGGCATTCGAGCCCAAACATCTCCCAAACATTCGCTAAAGCCCATAGGTGTCCTTTTTGGTTGTTTTGGTAGGAAAATAGATGGCGATTCCTGGTTTACCTGGTGGTCTTTTCTCATCTACCAGGGATATCCATCTATTTGCCCTAATAAGACACCTATGCTGGAGCCCATTCGGTATGGGGCTGAAGAGTAGCAGGTCTTTCACGAGAAACTCTAGCACCAAACACTGCGCAGTTCGCTCCTTCCCTGTAGATTGTGCTGCGGATTTCTCTTCTCAGAGAAACGGCCAGAGACAACGACCACGTGGTTTTTTTTTGCAAGGTCAAGCACCGTTTGACTTTCTGGCAAGTCAGCCCAAAGAAACACTGCAGACCTCAACAAAACCTCCGATATGATGCTGGACAGGAAAGAAAGAGCCTTTGGGGGTTGTTGGCGTGGTGTGATCCTAAAGCACTTTAAACCACCTTCAAACCATTTCGGAAGCAAGGGGAAGAGAGAGAGAGAGAGAGAGCGTAGGGGAGAGGGTTGGCCTAGTTCTTGGGTGGGCCTTGCTTATGGTTTGCCTGTCCTGCAGAGGAAATGGATAGAGCAGCGAAGTAGTTGCTTCCTGGAGTTTGATGAGTTCCCGTACGAAAAAGAAGCATGCAGTGATTGTAAAAGCAGCTTTTACTTGCATGAAACTAAGAACTCCTTGTGCATGGACGAAATCTGCACCTGTCGGGATGAATAAACCAATATTTCCACCGGAAATGGAGTTTGTCCATCCACGGGATGAGTGAACAACCAAACAAACCTCCCGGAACGGGGTTCCTGGACTTTAATGTCAATGTCAGTGGCTTCGTCATCAGCTCAGGAGTGAGAAACATAAAGTCCAATGAGGCAACGTCTCAAGAGTTTAATCGATGATAGCTCCAGTTCGGTCCACGCCCTGTTGACCGCGAACACAAAAACTTGACGGCTCCTTCCATTTGTTTTTTTCTCCCCCTTGTTGGCTTGAGGGAATCTATCACTGGAAGTGGCTTACCGATGGACACAATCCATTTCGCACCACCTAAGGAACCCTGGAATCTTCCCCAGAATTAGCTCCCCCTTTTCCTTTTTTGCTTTTTTGGGGTCCCCTTTCTTTTCCACTAACCAGGCAAATAAAATATTTTTTGCTGGGGTCCTAATTCCAGCCAAGGAATGATTCGATCCCATGGTTTGCCAGGCGCATTTTGTATCCACGGCAAGTGCCCAAGCCCCACGGAAGGGAGAGAGATGAAGAACCGGGAATGGAGGCCCAGAGGTCATTCTCCTGGCCTAGATCCTCCAGCTTTGACTGCTATTGGGCAACGGATCTTTAGACTTTAACTTTTTGGTTGAAATAAAGGTGTTTTCCACTAAACCCCTAAAAAGTTAAACTTTTTGCAGGGGGGTCCGGGGTCAACAGCAACCAAGCGCCAGCTAGGTGCCCGTTTGTCGCACCCCCTTTTTTTGATTGGGAGGGGAAACCCCGACTGAAGTAGACTGCAGAAAACTTTTGTTGGTACCAACTTTTCCTATCCTCTCAAATCTGGAGGACCTAGTTTGGCATTGTGCCCCACGGAAATTGGGCCATGCCAACTCATGCTCACCGTAGGGGAAACTAAGCTACGGTGGATGCCAACTCAAGATTGCAACTAGGGAACCAAGGAAACCCAAAGTAAATTGAACCATGGCTTGTGGTGGGTTTACTCGCAATATTGAGTTGGCATCCACCGTGCTCAGAAGGAAAGGTTCAGTTCGGGGTGATTCCATCTCTCATCACCCTTCGCACAAGTGGAGCTTTCAAAACGGAATGGGGGGAGGGGGTGGCTCCTTGAGATCTGATTTATGGTTGGGGATGTTCATTAGGGTTGACTAACGGCAGAATCTGACGACCTCATTTTTGGAGCGTATACCACAGATGCGGGTCAAGATATTGGCTGGTTTCAACATCTTGATGAACCAACATCTGGATGATCCCTGGAGATCTCCATTTGTGGTTTCATGTCTTTGGGAAAAACGGAAGAATGGACTTCCCCTTAGGGCCAGGGGCATCCCGGACATTCGCCAGGCTACGAGGAGGACCCTCTGAGCCACCCAGCAGCCAGCGACGAGGGCGATCAGTTCTCTGCCTTGGCCCTGCCGGCGGGGCTGGCGGCGGCTGCGGCAGCCTTGTACCTGCTCAAAGGTCAGTAGGTGAATCGAAGGAGGGTAGAGCTACTGTGGATGGTTGCGACATCCATCCAACGCACCTGAGAAACCGTAAATACCAACCAACAATGTGTTTCCCTTTTTTTTATGGTTTCAAAGTGGTGCAGGATTTCGTCCATCCACAGTTCGTCGTTGAGCGCTCCGGCGGATTTTATGATTTTTCGATCATAGACGCATGAACCCACGGGGGGGTTGACTGGGGAATGAGCTGTGGCTAGGGGGACTGGTACTCCCTCGCAAATTGACATGGAAGCCAAAAGCGAGTCCATTGTACATGGGGTAGACCAACCATGAAGCAACATGTTTGACATTGTTTACCATGGCTTCTCTGTTTTCATTTGACATCCATCCCAGATTTTCTGCAGTCTTTCGCACCAAACCCAAGGCGATGTTTCAGTCTGGGAGGGATGAGCCAAGGATAAGCCCTGAAGAGGAGATTCCTTTCAAAAGGGTTCGTTTTGGGGTTCCAATGAAGGTCCGTCCGTGTTAATTTGCAGGTCGTTTGTTTGCTGCAACTCTCTAGACATTCCAAAGCTTTCCCAGTACCCCCCCCCCCCCGCGGGGCCATCCAGCTGGCACTCTGGGGGCAAAAATGTGCGAACCGTTTGCTGTCCGCGCGTTTTGCAAGGAAAGCATGCAGGAAGTGGGCAACAGTCAGTAGTCACTTTCCTTCTGTGGGTCTCCCACAAAGCTATTGGGGTCCGCTGAATAAGATGGTGTTCATTGGCCCCGGATCTCATGGGCCTTCCCAAAATGAGGTCCCAGATTCAAAAGTTTCACCGGAAGACCTCGGCAGCATATGTGTGCGTGTGTGCGCCTGACATGTCTGCTGCAAGTCTCCGAACGGAAGGTTTGCTTGGCTCATTCCCAAGCATTGTGTGTGTATATGGCTTTCCTTAAGCTGACGACTTCCAAGCGCCAAACAAAAGCTTTGCACTTGCTTTGCCAAACTGCACAGGAAGTGCGCAATTCGAAAAGAGCCGGACCCCTAAAGCCGGATCTTGGGCTAAAGTCAACCCAATATGTATATCAGAATATGTGTACGTATGCATATATATATATATTTATATATATATACATGTACGTATGTCTATATATATACATATATATATATATATGTATATTTACATGCATTGTTTTGTAGGCTCCACTGTTCGGCGTGGATCGCCATGGAGGTTGTTCTTTGTAGCCCTGTACGCTTTTTGGGGTAGTGTCAAAAGGAAACCAAAAGCATAACCGAAGCAATTGTTGCGTCCCCTCTCCAAACAAAACAATAAATAAAGAATCTACTGGAATCTCCAAAGAGGTAGGTACAAGGGGGATAGGTAGTTTGGGTTCCTTGGGGAGCCTTAAGGAATTACCCCCTCTCGGATCACCTTGCCACAGGACTCCAACACCAAGTTGCCCAGTGGAGTCCGCCCTTTTTTCAACTTCTTTTTGGGGAAGGGTCCCGATTCCTTTAAAGTCAACCAACGAAACAAAGGATGCCGATTCTTTTTTCCCTACAGAAATCCACTGGGCAAGTGTAACAGAAATACACCCGCACAGCTTTTCGTAACAAGATCGTCGCTGCAGGGTGGAGAGCCAATTGCTGGCCCTTGGGCTAGGCACCGGCTGCGGTCGGTTCGGGGACTCACGAGAATCGCCCGGGCTTCGGCTTGGGGTGTTCCCCTACTAAAATAGACTACAGAAAAAAAGGGTACCCTAGCTTATTCCAACCTCGCTACTGGAGGACCTAGTCTCCAATGGCAGCTAACTGTCCTTTTTGTGGCGAAAACTGGGTAGATGGAATTCAAGGACCCCCAGCCCAAGATCCCCTTAAGTTAGAGGGGACCTTTGGATTTTCCCATTTTTGTTGCAGATTTTTGTTTCAACAAAACGACCCTTCCTCCCACAAACACGGCACCTGTGGCAGGGTACCTGGAAGATCAGTTTTCTCTCAAAGCCACCTCCTGACTGACAGGTGCCATGTTAGTGGGCGGGAGCGTACTTCGTTTCAGAGAATCAATTTTACTACAGGACCAGGGGACTTAGGCAAATGTGCCCCGAGTGTGCAAGGGAATCGATTTCACTGCTGGACCTACTGGTACTTTTTCAAGGGGGTGTATTCGCAATAGAGGGGGGTAAAATCAGCTCACCATGAAATGGGACCCCGCACGCACGCCGCAGTTGATTCTGATTGCGTGTCCCCTTTTCGTGGGTATAGCCATTTTTTGGAAGGAGTGTTCCCTACTGAACGTCCTATTTTGGGACGAGCTCTACTTGATCCAGGGTCAACATTTCGTCCTTTGCTTTCGCCCCCTGCCCTTTTTTGGTTCGTCAAGCATGCGATTTCGCCCACGTTGGCCCACGAGGCCCCTTCAATTCGAAGCTTCCGGCTTGAATTCTAAGTACGTCCCCCGGTGCCCTTTTTGGGGGGAGGGTTCTCCTGCTAAAATAGACAAAACCGAAAAAGAAAACAAAGAAAAAGAAGAAAAAAACTGTCCTTATTCCAACCTCTCTACTGGAGGACCTAGCTACTGGGGGATGATTCATAAGCGCAGGGTTGAGATTGATCAGGGTCCTGTTTTTTGGAGGGAGCCCCCCCTCCCCGCCCCCTATTACTGGGACGAGCTGTACTTAGAATGCGGGGTGTCAAAATTTCCCCAGCTCCTACCGTGGATGGGCGAAATCCATTTTGCACCACCTCAGAAACCTTGGAATGATTCGATTCCCCAAAGTAAATAACAACAACATTGTGGTTTCGACTACGGTTTGGTGGTGCGTCGGTATGGATTTCGATTTCAACCATCCACAGTATGTGCGTTCTGTGCTTCTGGTTGCACCCTCCCCGGTTGCCGATCCACTTATAAAGTCTCTAACGTGAGAGCCTGATTCGGGAAAGAGGGGGATGGGTAGAATACTTATTTTTGCATGGGGTTGTCTCAGGTCAAAGGTACATCGGGGAAAACCACTTGAGCCACAATCAAAACCCGGATAGATGAAGATTAGTGAGGGAAGCCATAAATAGTTACAACCGCCTTCGTGTTTCCTTACCATGGTTCTGGGTCAACCATGTTAATTAATAGGCTTTGATTGTGACTCACTTGAACCGAGAAATATCGCCCTGTATCGATGGGAGCCCGAAGGGTGGTTGAGATTTGGTCCGATGGTTGACCGAGACAAGCCTCGGAATTCCGCAGCGTGTGGGGCTCAAAAGTTCCGAGGGCGGACACAATACCTGTGACCCTTTTCAAAGTAGTTTTCCTGGTTGAGCCAACCTTTTTGAATGCTTGTTTGCCGTTACAACTGCTTTGAATAGAGCATGGAGGAAAACCATCGGTGATGTTCAACGGAGAGTCCAGTTCACTGTTGGAGCGTACAGGCGCAATACTGTCAAGGAGACAGCGAATGGAAACGGTCCATGGCTAGGTCCCCCAGTAGTGCCCTTCCTTTTTTTGGAGAGGGTTCCCCTACTAAAATAGACTGCAGAAAAAAGAAACGGTGCCCTTATTCTAACCTGTCTACTGGAGGACCTTGGTGTCCAGCTGGGACTGGGAACTTAGGACCTGATGAGACCCAAAGTGGTTACGCACCCCACTGCAATGACAGACTGGCTTGAGCCGCTGCTATCATTCCACGAGGACGGAACGGTTCCGTGTGGCTGCGCCAATTGGTTGACATGGCCGGCCACCGAAGCACTGGCCGAAAACCCGAAAATAGATCGTTTCCCCAAAGGGCGATTTTCTCCGGAGGAATCGGAAGTTGACATACCTTCTTTGTACAGGGATACTATATTGTTCAGTCCCATGTCGGAATGGACACTATATGGAGAATCGGATACCTTGGAGTGTAACCCGTGCCAAAAAGAACGGGCACACGGGTCAGATTCCCTTAGGACCTTCGGTGGTTGGATCTCAACAAGCCGCCGAATAGAACGTGGAATATGTGTTGTTTTTTTTGTTTCTGTGTGCGTGTTCTTGTTTGAGGGTGCCCTTTTTCAATGGAAGCCACCAGTAGGTTGATCAGCGTTTCAGGTTGGAAAATCTGCGACCCTTGTGCTTCAAGTGGTCGTGTTGTTGTCGTCATTGGTCGAATCCCGTGAGCTTTTGGTTCAACCATCGTGCAAATATCCTTCTCACCGCCGAAACAACAGGTTTCACCGATTTTTCGGGGAGGCCTACTTGCCGAGCTGGCAAGTGGTTTGCCAGTTGTGGCTTTTCACCCCCCTAATATCAAGCTCAACCCACCTAGGGGACAATTATACGTGGGTTATGACCGAAGGGTTCCCAACGAACGTTCACTTGGCGAATCCAACGCAGCTTTGGGGGTTCAACCCCTGGCTTTCGTAGAGAGAAACCATCCGGGGCGCAACTAAACCGGCGATTCGGCTCCAAACCGCCAAACAACGAGGGGATCTTGATCAAAAGGACAAACAAACACGTGTCTGGGATGACCAAGCCCCATTTGCAAAAAAAAAGTATGTCGCAAAGAGACCTCTAATCCACGAAACCTCCAAAATGACGGAATGAACCCAATTGTCCCTTTAAAGGAAACTGTGGGTTAAACTCCTTTTGTCAGAATATTCCGGAAACCCAAAGGTCCTTCCCTCCTTGTTTCCCTTTAAAGGAACCATCCCCTCATGCGCAGCTAGCCGTGTTGGCCGACGAGTGCGCGGAGTTCCGGGCGCGGAAGGAAGTTTGGTCCCCCAAAAGGCGGGCGGGTTGGACGACGGGCGGGTTGGAAGGCCATTTTCCCGATTTTCCCCTGTTGGTTTTAAAGGGAATCGTTTTCGCTACTGGAAATATGTTTTATTATTTTTTTCAGGGGACTTGAGCAAATGGAGGTTTTGTGGATTTGGTTCTAGGGGTAACTTCCATTTCCAGTCTTTCCAGGGATCCGGATCTTTCTAGAAAACCACCAAAAAACCCGGGGAAATGGCGATCGGTTTGAAAAGAACGATGGTTGAAAAGAATGGGGAATCAACCCCTAGATTGTGTTTTTTT